CCCCCCCAACACGCAACCATATATCCTCTATCCTACTTCCAAGACATATTTCCGATTTTGCAACAATTTGTCAAATTAATGCACGACAGAGTAACCTTGCAATTATATTACTTCATGTCATGTTAAACATGTAGACTTGCATCATTTAATTCAGAATTTAAACAAGTATCTATCTAAATAATATACTTGTTTAAGAGCTTGTTCTAAATCTTCATGACGGAAAAAATCTCAAGAACTGACAAGGGGGTCAACTCAAACCTAAATATATTTTTATTAAACTGTGGAACTAACTTCTTTATTAACTATATTAGGTTTGGTCGCTCTTTAACAATAAATGTTAAAAATACTTGTTTATTACAGATCTATCCATTTGTTATTTACTCTTCCAGTTTTTTATTTTTAAGTTTTGATAAATATTTCAATATTATCACAATTAACAATAACAGCTCACCGAAAAGAATAGGATAAAACTATTATTTAAAATGTACAAGAAAAATTGCAAATATCTGAAAAATATTTTTTACTTATTAAGATTTTTCTTTTGGATTTAAAAAAAATAGTAATGTATTGTCATTGTGAATGGTGCTAACATGGTGAAAAAGGGAGATAAGCTTTGGAAAGGTAGACGGTGGGGGGGGGGGAGGGCAGTCAGAGGGTATAGAGGAGGATGCTAATTGATTGATTGATAAGAAAGTATATGTAAACTGTTGAGTATCCGAGAGATTAGGCGCCAAGGTTTACTGTTTGAGTGGTTTATTATTTGTATATCTTACAATCAAGAGTATATACAATATATATACAAAATAGTAGGCTACAATATATATAACAATATATATACAAATTAGTAGGCTACAATATATACGACTTGGGAGTCTACAATATATTCAACTTAAGAGTCTACAATATATATACTCTACAATATATACACAACTTAGGAGTCTACAATGTATATACAACTTAGGAGTCTATAATATATGCAACTTAGCAGTCTACAATATATACAACAATATATATACAACTTAGCAGTCTACAATTTGTACAAATTATTAGGCTACAATATATATACAACTTACTAGTCTACAATATATACGATTTATAAGTATACAATATATACGACTTGGGAGTCTATAATATATGCAACTGATTAGTCTACAATATATACAACAATATATATCCAACTTGAGAGTCTACAATATATACTACAATATATAATATACAACTTAGTAGGCTACAATATAAACAACGTAGTACAACATATGTAGATTGTGTGTGGTAATTGCAGTGGATAAGCTTGACATCAAAGTTGTTTTATTGGATCTAAACCCAACCCCCTAATATACATGTTCAAAATATGAATTTGAGAAATGATTCATGATAAATTTATAATAACGTATTGTATATTATATATAACTATACTTAATGATTTCAATACTGGTCAGAAATACCAAACCTTGATTTTCCATCATAAATCATGAGATAACCCAGGCTTGATGATATGTATTAGATTCTTCCTTCAATAAATTAGATGCAAACCGTTACTCAGATTTCTCGGCATAATTTTATAACATAATATCAGCAATGAAAAAATGTATGGTTATGTATACCGTATATCATACTGTGTCCGGACAAACTTTTGTGTAAGTTCTTGTATACCTGTGTTATGTATATTTACAAGAACGCCAACAGAGGGCGTATCACGTAGTTGAACTAAATATGTAATAATTTTCTAACCCAGGTTCTGAAACCTCAAAATATAGTTTTCAATATAATTCTATAGAATTGAATACCCCAGAATGCCCTGGGCGCACTTTTGAACACATAAAATTGTTATATTTGAACTGGGGTTGCGTCCTGAATAGTTAAAACTCGATGTTGTACATTACCCAAGTGTAGATGGACCGTTTTCGGCGTAGGAGCAGGTCTGGGGGAGAGGGTGAATTTTAAACCTTGAGCAATGGTTTTACTCTCCGCGAGTTTAATTAAACTATTAGAAAGATAAACAGATAGATACTTTTTAAATTGGTATTGGATAAGTAGACGAAAGGATTTGAATGTCGCAAGGTTTGGTTGTACTCACTAACTCACAATAACTTTTTTTGTGGTTCTAGACATGTACATTTTAAAACCATAAAGCACTTAAGTTTTAAACTTTAGTTTTAAAGAAGTAAATATAAAAATTCTAAAGAATTTCTACGTGATGGACTTGCAATCTTATCTTTATGCATGCACGGGTTTTGGTTACGTTTCTTAAGATCATCTTAAGATCTTTTGATCTAATAAAATTTGCAAAATCATTGATGTCAATAATTTGTTGTAACCTTGTTTTTTTTCTAGAACGCTGAAAAAATCTAAAATGAAGGTACTATGCGATTTTTTCATTTGCGTTTTGGTGCATTCACAACAGGTAAAAGTAATCCTTGCTGCAGGAAAATTCGAAAATATGATTTCAACCTCTTAGATTTAAAATCCGAGAAAAATGTAAAAAATTTCCATATTTACCCAAGGCTTAACAAAATGGTATTTAACCCCCCACTATGCTTAGTCCAATATACCCCCTGGCTCTAAACCCTTTAGCGTATCCTGGTTTTCAAGTACCCCAGCGGGGATAGGGTTAACTAATATTCATGAACCCCTGGAACTGTAAACGTATTTCTTTCTTTGCTAATATCATAAAATAAGATATCAGAAGAATATATTTAAAGCCGGCAGAAAATTTAATCCAACCTTGGGCTCATCACCTGGATCTAAATATACCCATTTGGCTGCGGCAATGTAAAACCTAACTTGCTGCATAATTTTTATATCGCTTTGACACATCTTCTTTCTTCGTGTTAATATTAAACAGAAATCAAGGCAGCTATGCATCGATTTTCAAGTCTAGGTCAACTTTGAAGTTTCGTAACGGCTTGGCTTTTGGTTTCACACATATGTTTTTTATTTGTCTATGGTTTCACAGCACTAGCCAACTAATTCACATATACATTTTGATATCCCTAGGGAGTCGAAATGTACACTTTTCGAGGTTTTTCTTCTCTCTGGTATCCAATTTCAAGTACAAAAAAACCGAGGCATCTATGAAAACGCCTTGGCTTCTGGTTTCACAGCACTGTAGTCATCTAATTCCCATTTTTTAACGCTGGACAGTAGAAGTGTACAATAGAAGTGTACAGTAGAAGTGTACAGTTTATAATTTTTCAAGGTAGTTTCTTGCTTCAGTTTAAACTTTAAAAGAAGTAATTGAAAAAAATTATAATAGGGTTTTGTGTGAGAGCGTGCATATTTGGATCACTGTAATTCGCTGGTCTCTTCTATTTGTCATGTACAGGGGTGTATCGATTGTGTTTCTTTTTTGAAAACCAGAAAACATTGGAATAGAAAGACGACATTATAGCAATGCTAAAGTATAATTAATGTTGTTACAAAGCAAATAGTTTTACTAGTACTTATCAAAATCTCTAATTTATTGAAATGGGGTTGATTACACATCACAATTGCTGTGTACTGTATACGGCTCATTTGGACTATTTAAAATCATAAATTGAGTGCTTTTGTCGTCTTCCAAATTCAGAGTTTTCTGTTTCTCGTTGTGCCTCTTCAGGAGTATCCTCCCTATGTTGTGACCATACTTTTGCTTGTATTTCCCTTCCCCTCCCCATGTAACCCCCTACGGGATACCATGTCATAGGTTTAATAGTGATGGGCATCATGGAGGTCCGTTTTATGACATTTCGGTTTTTTACAATAAAAGTGTTTCAAAAATGTAAATTATTGATTAAATTGCAAAATTTATGCCTCGATTAGCTTGATGTTAATCAACGGGTTTTTCAACACGAAAAAAGAAAAACTATTTTCTAGTAGTTTTGAAAAATAGATTTGGTAAATATATAAAAATATTGCGTAATGTAATGAAAGCAAATTTAACTTCTAGAGTCCCTTAGAAGTCTAAAAACCTATCAAAACTTATTTAAAAACGAGTCTCAAAATGATGCCCATCAGTAGTCCTGGGTGGTGTGTGAATTAGTGAGGAAAGACAATGTTAGAATACCTAATAGGATACAGTTCCCGTAAATGCTGTGACAATCAGTTTTTGCGTTTTTATATTTACTGAGCCCGCGATTTAAAAATTTGTAAAAATAAAATTCAGGTCTCAGCTGTTGTGATTGAGACTTATTTAAAAATAAAATAATTATTAGAGTTGTTTTTGGCGGGTTTTCATGATTGAAATTGGCGGGCTCGATGGATTTAATAAGAATAAAACTCATCATTGAGACTAATTCTCCACTGGAGGTCGTCTTTATTTTCATTGAGTCTAACTCTTTAAGTCGAATCTAAGAGCCGGCAGCTGTCAATCACCTGACACAAGCATTTGTCAGCTGATTCATGAGTTGGATCTCAGATTGAGGGTCTGGGTCTAGGGATCTAAGATTCGAGCTGAAGTTTTTAAATCTTGGGCTCTGGAGTAGTAAATATAATAATATATGTGATATCAGAGATGAGATTTAAAATCTTAACCCCAAGTAAAACCCGGTCTTTGCGTCTGCTTAGACCCATTTAAGCTCAAGTGAAGACCCGGGTTTTGGATGGCCTTGAGTTTGGTAAAAACCAACCACCTTGGGGTTTTCTCTCTTCAAGGCTCCGGTCTTCAGAGGCTGAGGATAAAAAATTTCTAAAAAACTTTTATATTTGTAACATCTAAAATCTGGGGAATTATTAGTAGTGTCAAATTTGATCAAAGGTAGGAAATAAACATACTATGCAAATAATGTATCTACATAAAGTTCGAATTTTCGAAATTGACATCTCCTTGTAACAGCTGATCGGCTAGAAATCTGTCTGCTACAGAGAGAAAGCTTACTAAGCAGTCTCTAATTGGTCGAATCAGAGCCAATCCTGACTTGGGTTCTATCTGAGCCCAACTCTGGGTTTCACTCGGGTTTAAGCTTTTAAAAATATCATCATTTAAAAAACATCATCTTATAAGTTATTCACTTAAATATTCAAATTACTTACTTTCTGTCAATACTTTTACTTTTTAGATAAAATATCTTTATTTCTTCTATTATTATTGTTTCATCTCGTTTGCGTTTTAAAGGTTTGGTGCGAATTTACATTTTAAGTTCTTTAATCAGCCAAGTTATAAATACAAATTCCTTTAAAACTGAAGTAATTACCTTTTAAACTCATTTTAATGCTATTTGGGCCGCCATCTTGTAGCGGTTTGATTTTACTATGCAGGATACAGTTTAATGTTTAATTGTATTCAACCTAAAGGATTGATCTACATAAGACATTCCTTCTCAGTAGGATCCTAGATAGATAGATAGACGAATAAGTAGACTGACAATAGAAAGATAGATAGATAGGTAGAAAATATGCGGTGTTTGAGCCTCACCAACAAATCTGCATTTAATGTATAAGATTTATTTCATGTTCTTAAAAAAAGATTTCGAAATACAGGCTTTTAGGGCGCTTCTCTCCCCATTTCCAGTTATTATACTAAGCTTTTAATTGTTGCTATGAAAGTTGGCCATTTAAAATCATAATTTAATTAGGCGGATTTTTTTAATGCGCCAATTTGAAAAGAAAAATCCACCAAAATTAAAAATGATTAAAAATCTTCTTGGACATATGTTAAACTAAAGATATCAGAGATACCGCTTCAAAACGTATGAATGAATACCTTCGTTACAAGTCTCTTTCAGATTAGATGCTTCGTGACTTAAAGGTTTGCACATGTACTTGTATGGTTAATCTAACTGTCTCTATCTATCTATCTGTTCGATCTTGATTTCAATCCAATTCTTTATTCAAAACTCATGCATTCATTCCAATCATAGTCATGGACTATCATATATATTACAGAGACCATATTCTAAAATTAATTGGGTTTTATAGATGTTTGCTTTATCTTGAATAAAACGAATAATTTAGAGGAAACATGTCAAAACATATTCATCCTACGCTGCAAAATAAATGTATTATGGTTTGGTTAGTTTTCTGACTTTCCATATAAATATAAAGTAGAATCTTGATTTATGGCTTTACATAAAATGGCTAATTTGTTTTATTTATGAATACAAAAACATATTAAGGATATAACAGGTTCATATTTGCAAGAACACCAATTTGTCCCAATAAAGTCCAAGCTAAATTAAATCTTAAAATGAATTTATACATTTTTGACTTGATATCTGTCTGAGTAGACTATCTTGCTCTAATGATATGAGTTCACCTACTGTAATCTTTACAAAAACACGAACGAAAGAAGTTGAATAATTTTCTCATTTTCACACACGAAATTATTTGAACAAAAACGTATAAATAACTGTTCCAAAATGTCACGCAAGAAAAGATATGAGTAAGGTAGGTATGCAGTGTAAATTATTTATTAAGTTTTTCGAAAGTTTACATATGTGTGTGAATACACACTGTACAGTGTACATACAATAATTTGCAAGTGCATTTAAATGTTTGAACTGTATTTACATAAATCTTTTCGTTATTTTTTACATTTAAATTAACTGCTTAGAACTAGACAGTGTAAAATATCACAGATTAATACAATTATTTTCCATATAAAATGAGCATATTAAAACAAAAACCAACATAATAAATTTACGATACCTTCTTACATATCGTTGAGATCTATTTCATAAAATGATATTGGAAATGCTTCATTCTCAATTCTTATAACTCTTAGCTATTAGTAAAAGACCAAATTTTTAAAAAATATATATGTACATTAAAGAGAAATTTTTCATTATTTAAGAATTAATAAATTAATTTTAACTTGGGCTTGGACAGTTAATTCATTTTCAGATAGATCTTTAAAAATAAGATCCAATTTTATTTTTACAAAGAACATATTTCTATTGTAGAATGCTTTCTATGATATAATTTCAAGAAACTATTTTAAAAGAAAATATCATAAACGTTTCTCAGAAAAATTTTTAAATCATAAGATTGTTTAGGTTCATATTATTTGTATTTGATTGCACTCTGGTTCTATAATATAACGTTGGAAAATGGTCAAAAATTATCATTTCGCTGCTACACTAAACTAAGGTTGTGGGGTAGGTCACATAGGCCTATGATAGGCCGGGTACTATAGAAAGTCTAGCCGCGCCATAAAAGTTAAAACAGAGCCAGAAAAGGAAAGGGTCGGGCTGGTACTTGCCGTGTGTCACTACGGCCGGTACAAGAAATCGGTCCGGTTCGTATTCAAATTGACCTTAGTCCACCGTGAGCTGCAAATTACTGTTGAAATCTATTAAGTTCAACTTCTAAAGGAAATAACCCCTATTCCTCTTCAACCCAAAGAACTATCTTTCCCGAGCTGCCGGGCAGAATACGGTCATCTTCAGCAATCTAGAAAATCAAGGTTTAAAGGGACTGTAAGCGTTCTCTCGAGGGACTCTTCAAGCAAAGATCGAAACGACCGATTTTTAAAGGTGCCCTTGAAAGCTTGAAAGTACAAATTAAATATTAATGTTTCTGTTTTTTAAAACTTTTTATTTTCATTTGCATTTGCTTATAAGAAGAAATCTTTACTAACTAAAAATATTTTATAAGAAAGTTTCGAAACTTTAAATGTTCACCTCTTCTTTAACCATTCCATACTCCGTATCTGTGTTTTTTATGTGGTATCTGAAATTAATAATTATATTTTTTAATTCTTAATTATTCATAATTTTTATTTGCATTTTAATTATCTTACTATAAGTTTATTTTTAATTATTGCCATTAAGGAATTAAAATTTATCATCCCTATATCTTTGCATCCTGAAGTTAATAAACTTTTAATATTTCACACTTATGTTATTTGATTCAACAGAATTTATAGTTTGAAATATCTAAGGATTTGACATTGGGTTGTAAAGATAAAGGGATTAGAAAATCAGAGTTTGTGGCACCGACTTAATTTCTTTGTATTATTTGTATTTTTTCAATAATGATGGATATAATCATCATTTTCGTGAAAAATATATTGTATTACCTATAGAAGCCTGGTCTATCGAATACAGCTTTGAAGTCTCTAAGTGAAACCTGTCCTACGGGCATATTAATACTTGTCATGAACGGTGTAGCAGACCTTGGCATAAAGTAAATAATCTTTGTGGTCGGAGGCTCTGCAACCTTTTCATTCTCATTTACTTCCTCTGTGATACTGCGGCTAGCCTTCTCAACAATAATAGAGATACACTGCTCAAGGGTGTCTAATATATGATGACCAGGATCAGAATCTCGAAACATGGATCGAAGGTTAGAAATGGCTTCTCGAGCAACCTGTAGTTCCTCTTTAAACCCTTCCTTCCCCTCTCTGCCTTCATCAGCCTTGGATCCTCGGAACACACTCTTTACAAGAGATCCGGTCGAGGACTCGGGAAGGTTCTAAAAAAAATCTTTTAAATTAATTTACAAATTGTTTCAGAATAAAAAGGCAGCTTTGTCTAACGTCTAAATTTGAATTGGCAAATTTAACTTTGCTGATAGAGTATTTATTCTAAAACAACTTGTACACAGAACAACAATCTTGATCAGCATTTTTAAATTAAAGGGAATGTATGCGTAATTTAAGTGATCGTCTATGGAAATATGGCAATGCCCAATTTACAAGGGTATCCTTGAAACCTTAATCTGATCAATAATGTAGAAGATACCGTCGTTTTTCTAACTCGAAAAGTGTTTTTTTTAGTTTCTCCATTAAATCTTATAGACAAGAAACGCGCAAATCACTTTCGCAGAGAAACCGCAAACGAAAATAACAGTATCAATAAACAAAAACATTGATATCTATTTTACACTTGATCTAATAAAATGTTCACAAGTACCGTAGTAAATAGGACATTGCAATCTTTGCATGAAAGTACGCATACAATTCCTTTAAGCATGCAGTTTCATTTATTTCTTTAAAAAAACAGATATCCCAGTAGCCCCTTAATCATTTGATAAATTTCTAAATCCGCTTGTAAAATGTGTTGCACAGGGGAAATCCTAATGTGCATGCAAATCTGTGCCAAGTTGTGCCAAAGGGTGTGCGAAGCTGTGCAAAGTAATTAGTTTTTCAATCATTTATTCTGACAGCTAATATTGATTATAGAGTATTAACTATAGTAGACAGGGCCAGGGGCACGGATCAAAAAATAAAAGGCATTAGAATACAGAAATTTAATTTTCGTAAAATTTAAAAATCTGCGAAAAAAAATTTTAATTATTGTTTTATTGAAGAAAAAGTTTAAACAGATGATGGGCACGAAGCGCCCTGATAGCCTAGTAAAACTAAAAGTGGGAATGTGACAATTTAAATATAGTTTACATCTAATGTTGTTTTAATCAATTATATTAGTTTGAACCAATCTTGTTTCAACTACATTGTATTTTCATCCCTGAATGCTTCGCACAAAGACACCCTTGAGCAAGGTTTTCAATGCAAGCAAAAAATTGATTTTCACAATGGTGAGAAAAATGGTGCACTTAGCTCAACTGTAAGATACAGTACTTGGCATTTTGAATAATCTTTTACTATGGAGGGGTTACGATAGAGATAGTCAAGGTTATAATGCAAGGAAAGTTAATTGCAGTTACGTAGACTCTGCGTACATATTGAAACCAGTTCTAATTTACATAATAGTTTCCTATGACCAGAATACTTCATTGATTTTTATGTGAAAGATGGATCCCATGTCAGGCTTCGACATCCGTTTTGAACGAACGAGTTTACCGAACGATCGTTCAGTGAGATTATATGAATGTAAAATGAAAGATAATTTTGAAAACGAACGAAATCTTATTTTTAACAATTGAAAAAAATGGGTCGTCGTTCATGAACGAATAACGGACGAAATGAAAAAAGCGAACGAACCCATCTCTAGGTAAGACTGTTGACACAGTAAAGTGAAGATAAGGGTGCATGTGTGCATTTCTCCGAATACATTTCTCCAACCTGGCCGGGGAGGGAGAAAACGTTACTCAGTGTTAGTTTTAGGTCCTTCTCAGACCCTGGGTTAGAAACCAACTAAAAAAATATTTTTAAGATATTTTTTATATTTTTAAATTGTTATCTATAAATAGCAATTTGGGATTTCTAATCAAATAGAACAAAGATATATAAATAATTATATTTTCTGTGTCCAAGACTTCAAAAGATTATGTTGGTTAGCGATATCCACTAAAAATTCTATTTGTTTCCATGACTAAATTTTGTAAAATATCCCAATTTACACCTTAAACGATTTAAATTTCATGTTTCTCTGAGTTCTCACTTAATTTATTCGTATTTATCTGGAAATGATATACATTCCATCTTATAATTCTAAAGGATAAATGTCATATTTATAATCGAATGATGTTGTGCAGTTTTTACTGTACATCTGTAGTAGTATTTCCAGCAAAATTGGAAATCGTTTTGCAGAAAGAAAAAAAAAATTCGCAGAAAATGTGGCATTTTTCGCATGCTGTTCTTAGAAAAAATGCGAAAATGATTTCAATTTTAAGAAAAAACTGTCGCATATTTGGTTTTTGCTTCCTTTCTATAATTTATTTTGAACAAAAATGCAAAATTTTGCGAAAAAGTTTGCAAAATACGAAGAAAATGTTCGCAAAATTTGCCCTTTTTGCGTTATTTTTTCGTTCGCTGGAAACCCTATCTGAACTTCTATAATATGCTATGCAGTGAACTCAGTGAACAAGGATGGATGGGTGCAGGATGCAACGAATATAAAACATTAAAGATTTATCAGGGTTTGAAACTTACCAGATTATAGAGTTCTTCAAGTTGCTTCTTTGCTTGGTTTAATTCTTGCAGGAGTATTGTGTAAGGAACGTTTCTTTCAACCCCTCCATCTATCTCTGTACCCGGATACCCAGACCAAGGTTTCCGTCCTTGGTCAAAGCTCCCTCGAACCCAGTCGTAAGCAGGGTTGGGTTTCTCCTGTTTCAATATTTCTCCTTGCCCAAGAACAACACTGGTCGGAGGAGAGTTTTTATCCGAACTACCCTCTCCATCTCGCCTCTGCTCTAAATCACTATTTTCGCTCTGAAGGCTGGCTCCATCCGGAGGAATTTTATGTGAAACTCTGGGAGATTGTGGTACACTATGAATAGGCAGGGATGAAGGTCCGGAGAAGCTTGAGTTGAGAGATATTTTATCCTGATCTCTGTCAACTGACTGAGAACGGGAATGTGAGATCTCTGGAGGCTTTGGAAGAAGTCTTCTTCCTACGGACATCCTGTGTATTGTGTTATAACGGAAATCACTTCTTTCAATATTTTCCATAGACTCCCAGAACTCCATTGCTTTGGGTTTGCTCTTGTTTCCACCCGTAGAATGCTCCTCCTCCTCCTCCACCTCCCCTCTCTCTTCATCTTCCTCATTAACGCCCTCCGTTGTTTTCCTTGAGGGTAAAGTATTACTACGACAACGTTCAGGAATCTGTGGAAGTTTTCTTCCGGATCCACTTCGGACGAAACCTTCGTTGTTTAGTCCCCGATTAACCGGTGAGGGGCCGATGGACCGGTCCAAGGGTGACGGTCCCGATGACCTGTCACTGGGTGACGGACCGTTTGATCTGTTAAAGTTTGATGGGTCGATGGGTCGAGAATCTAAAGTTTGTGTCTCCGCTGTTATCTTTGGACTTTTTTCTCCTCTTTTCATAAACCTTTGGTTTTCTCCCTGCTCCCAAACCCTACCTGGAGCTGGACGTCTTAGCTCTTCTCCGGGTCTGGTGCTGGGTATGGAATCCTCAGGTTTCTTTGGTTCAATACTTTCTGTAGAGGTATCATGGTGTTTAACCGATTGAGGTTTGTAATGAGCGGCTAGAGCTAGAATTAGTCGCATTACAGATTTCAAGTTTCCTTCCAACAACTCCCTAAAAACACAAATTATTTTCAATGCGCTTAAAAAACTTGTAGAAAGTTGAAAAGGAGTAAAAAGTATACCTGGATGATATATTATGCATCTTTATCTGTTTACTTGACATAAACTGAAGAACTCTCTCAAGGTTCTCTCTCATCCCTTGTAAAGACTCAGGTCTGTACTGAATACCAGCCATAGGTTCACCAGCTGCATAAAATAATAGATGTTTAAGGGACTGTACACATATAATTTCAAGTGACCCTCTATTTATGGATAAAAATGCCCTGTTTAAATCTTCATCTTAAAATCTTTTTGTGTTCATCGAGTACAGAGATATGTGTTTTAAAATTTATCAAACCCAGCTTGTATTCAATTGAAAATTCAAGTGTTTTTTTTTGAGTTTAGACTGTAAGTAAGGCAACTAATTCAGCGCACGTACACTTGAATTTGCAGCTGACTACAAGCGGGTTTCGATAAGTTTACACACACTTATCTTTGTACTCGACAAATACACAAATGTTTTATGGTACTGTTTTATGTCGGGCATTGCCCTCATTCCATAGAGGGTCACTTGAAATTACGTTTACAGCCCCTTCAATAGTTGAAGATTTGCACAAAAAGTTGAAAATATAGTTTTGTTTGATTAGTTTTATATCTGCGAGAATATGCAATTTATGTTTAGATTCTGACAGAGGAAGATAAAAATCAATATTTTAGAGATTCGGAATCTGAAGATATAAGTTCAGAATATAAAAGTGTAAACGAACCTTTATTGCATAGATTTAAATCGTAAAATAAATATTTTTGCGTTTGGATATCAAATGAGAAAACATTGGTAATTATACTTCATATTTTTAGTTTTGGATACTTTTTTAATTCAAAAACTTACTTAGTAAGCGTTAATGAAACCCGAATAAAGTGATAATTTCGAAGTGTTTTTATTTGTAGTTTAAATTATTAAAGTATGCTTACATATGATCTCTATGAGCTGAGCCAGAACTTCTCCAGTTTGTAGATCCGTCCTTAAATCTTTTACAGGTTTCAATCCTTCTCTTTTTCGCAGCTGTGAGTTTACCCATGCTACATACGCCTAAAATGAAGAACTGAATCACGAAACAAAATAATACATCAGTACTATTAGTTTTTGGACAACAAACTTACTAAAGTACTAGTTGTTTTTAGTTTCAGCACATTTTATCTAAATCTTATGTGGCATTTTCAATTTAATTCTTTCTTAGCGTGAAACCAGAGTTATAAGTGGCCTTGCAAACAAGTTCTAAAAATTTGTATTTAAACTAATGAACACAAGTTAAATAATTTAGGTTACTTCTCAACTTGTACTTTAAATCTGAAAACAAGAGTATAATTTCTGAATTTTTGTTGGTTTGAAGTTTCAGGTCTGAAAGCCATTTTATATTTTTCGTTTGCAAAGTTTGGTTTACCTGGAGCTGTTGAGTCCACTCCAGCCATGATACAGACCCGGAGATAGGTTTAGTTGAGGTTAGATTACTCTCAGGTTTAGGAGGGGGTGGTCTTTGGTAAGGGGGAAGAGGGGGAGGGGCAAAAAAATCTGGTTTCTTGAGGGTCGGAGGTTTGACTTGCTCCAGGGTGGGTTGAGGAGCAGGGTTTAATCTCAGGTTGGTTTTTAACTCTGACTTCCCGGAGAGAAATGAAGCATCAACGGAGAAATATTTCTCATTAGGTTCAGGAGCAGAATGGAGCTGGACCATGTGTTGAAACCCTGGATAGATAGATAGATAGATGGATAGATAGATAAATAGACATATATATAGATATATAGATAGATATAAAGATAAATAGATAGAAAGAAGATAGATAGATAGTGTTTTGACGAATAGCAGACGTGTCTGCATACTAATGAGAACATGATTCATCAGGAAAATTATCTTTAACCAATCAGTAGTCAGTATCAGAGGAAAATATTAACCACAGTCAACCATTAGTTACCAAGATAGTCATTATAATCTGAAGAGAAAATTTACTGTTTAGAAAATAAATCCCGTCATTTACCTTTTACGGAGAAATATTTATTTGGGGATGAATTAACTCCTGATTCTTGTTTGCCTCCGCCCAACTCTGATCTGCCTCCGCCCAACTCAAATCTTCCTCCGCCCGACTCCGATCTTTTAAGATCCTGCGGTCCGTGAGCCGGAGATTGGCGGGAACTGTCATTCTGTTGTCTCTTTAGCAAGACATATCCTAAACAAACCCGAAGTAAAGATTCATAATTAATTTTACCATCAATTATGCTTTCGGTGTGTTCTACGAGTAATGTGCACAGTTACATATTACCGAAAATTTAATGGAAAATAATCTTTTCACAACGATAACTTTGAAACCTTCATCTGTTTATTGAGTAGAGCGTGAGATCTTTCTGTTAAAAGTATCGAAACCCGGTTTAATTCCTCTAAAACGCGACTATGCGCTGTGTACAATCTGACCTCAAACAGTTGATTTATTACTTGTTTAACTCGACAGTATATCGACTGGTCTACATTAATAGCGTTTTCTAACTTTCAAAAGTAATTTCTATATTCTGCCACTTGTAGAAAGTAACTCTAGATATTTCTTAAGTGTATGACAGCTTGCAAACAAGGTGTTCAGCAAATAAAAGCCTTTAAGTCGATTAACATGGATATATCAGTCAACGGTTTAAAGGGTAAATCGGAGAAGCTCCGGGAAGGTCACTTGAAGTTACGCTTTCAGTCCCTTTAAAGGCAAGATATATATTACCTGATTCATTACATGTTTCTGGTTCCTTAGCCAGGTATCCGTGAGATGACCAGTGTGCTAAGTCCCCCTGACCTCTGGACTCTGTTTTCTGATTTCTAGACTCACGATCTAAAATCCGCGAATCTGAGATGTTGGGGAACATTCTGGACTCTGGTCTCCGTATTGGTGGCCTTTGCTCCGGTCTCTGTTCCATAGAGAGAGAATGGTTTCTGTTTAGGCCATACAAAGAATCACTTGGTATCGCTTCTTCCTATTAAAAAGGAAAAAATTAATTAAATAGTATATTTAAAGGGAGTGTTCTCATAAAAATTAAAGGGGGTATAGGGTGACCCTGAATTAAATTCGAGTTTGATGGCTACCAATCTTACATCTTTCTGGTGCGTCCATAGAAAGAAAATGGTTAAAAACGACTCATACCAAAGCGAGTATAGAATAATACAACATCGTACATTGAAAAACAGATTATGATATTTAAACTAGTATGTTTTAGACTACAAAGAACTGCCCCCACATTTTTTATCTTGTAATAGCTGATTGATTAGTTAAAATTTAATTAAAGTAAAGTAAATGACACTCTGTGAATTTGTTTGATAGATAGATAGATAGATAGATAGATAGATAGATAGATAGATAGATAGATAGATAGATAGATAGATAGATAGATAGATAGATAGATAGATAGATAGAAGTAAATTTAGTAGCGATCAAACCCGAATTCAATTCGGCGTCAGGCTTTTATTTTTCACGAACACTCCCTTTAATGTATTTTCTACAACAGAAAATATTCTTTAAAATCTTCCAAAAGGTTTTACTAACTGACCTGCTCTGCTAGACGCAGTTGAGTTCTCCACTCTGGTTTAAGCGGAGGTAGAGGAGGAGGGATATCTCCCAGGATATTCTCGTTGGATAAACCGAGGCTACTGGGTTCAGGATGCTGGATAGCCAACCTGAAATAATTATAGAAAATATTAAATATTTTAAAATTTTTACACGGATTTCCAAATGGAATTCTGTTGCATGGAATTGCGCGGAATTGCGTGAAATTGCTAAAAGGCTGGAACACATTGGCAGATTTTTAACCCTTGGGTACCCTTGCCGGACAGTTAGTGATACAATAGGAGCAACGAAACCCAAGAAATTCTGAGAAAGTAATGATCTGTAATCTGAACTTTTACCTCTGTCCAACCCTGGATAGGGTCATGGTGTTGGTATTCTCAGTTTTAGTTCCATTGGATGTGAATAGGCCGAACTTACGACTAGTTGGAGAACTGGAAATCTCTTTCCTAAACAAACAAACTTATTGTCAAAATCAATTTCTTTGAGTGAATCAGTAAATCGTTTTTTTTTTTCAACATTGATTTTGAAAGAACAAAAAATAAGAATTTAAAAAATACACACATATCGACCAAAGTGCAATTAAAAAGTTTTTTTAAGCTTTGATGCTATGTGTATACTATATAATCAAAGAGACCTATTTTTAAAACTAATTTTTCTATATCATTAACATATTCTATATCATTAACATATTCTATATCATTAACATATTCTATATTCTATATCATTAACATATTCTATATCATTAACATATTCTATATCATTAACATATTCTATAACTTAAAAATCCTTTTTTATATAGTGAAGTAGTCCAATGAACATAAGACACAGCAATTGTGAAGTGTTAACAGACCCATTTCACTGAATAAGGGATTTAAAAGCTTACTAGTAAGGCTATTTGCTTTATAACAACATCAAATGCACTTTAGTATTGCTTGAATGATGTCTCGTCTATTCCATAGTTTTCTGGTTATCACCGTATATCTTATGGTATTAGTATACTAGATTAGATATAGATTGGTTTTAATGTAAAATAGATTTAATCTTATCGGCTGTGTTAAATATTTGTTTAACAAGAAAGAAACCTTCTCCAGTTTTAACTCCCATTGTCTGGAAGTTTTTTGTTTAGATAGTTTTGTTTGTTTTCTCGTTTAGTTAATATTGTAACTTTGCTTGTTCTATATTTTATTGTTTTTATGAACCACACAATTTGAATTTAATTCGGTTTCTTTGTTTAGATTTCAAGTTTAGATTTAGAGACAGGTTACATGGAATAGAACTTTACCAAGTATATAATTAGAAGAAAACATATTTCCGCTAGATTTGGTGGGAAACTAACTTGGAGTATATATAGAGCTATGCCAAGAGATAAAGACTTATTTTCTATTCAATTCAACGTTCATGATTTTTAATTTAAGTTTCTTTGCAGGTATCTTCCAGTGATATGGTATCAATTATGCATATATCTCTATTTAGATATGTATAAATTAAAATATGTTACTCCGAATACTGAACTCTACTGTAAAATATGTTACTCCGAATACTGAACTCTACTGTAAAATATGTTACTCCGAATACCGAATTTCGGCCCAAGACATAAAGGATGGAGGTTTATAAAGAGATGAGAAATTCAAGAATAACCAATTTAAATATGTGATTTAGATAAACGTAAGAAATAATAAAACTGAGTCCGAATTTATTAAAGGAATTGAGTCTTTGTAACAAAATCAAATATTTAAACCCCAATATCTTTAGAACCCGATGTTGTAAACCTTTGATATTTCAAACTCTGATTATTTGATTTAACAGAACTCATAGTTTGAAATATCTAAGGTCCACAAATTTTGGTTCCAAAGATATAGTGGTTAGAAAATCAGAGTTTGTGGCAAAGACTCAATTCCTTTAAGCCGCGTCTCAAAACCCCCCAAAACCAGTTTTAATTGAACGCCGGCTTAAAACTTGAAAAATTGAATACAATTTTAAGTGAAACCAACCATATTTGAGCCGCGGCTTAAATTTAAGCCGTGGTTCAATTCTTTAAAGTCGGCCTCTGGAGAAAATAAAAGAATTAGTTCCTTAAATGATTTTCAAGTACATTTTTCAAACATACAGTGATAACCAGAAAACTCTGAAATAGGATGACAATTTTTAAACTTAAAAAAGTCCAATGAACATGAGGCACCGCAATTATGCAGTGTAAACAGACAAATTTAACTTAACTATTGATTTTACAGATCATTTGTATAGCTATTTACTTTGTAATAACATCAAATTCAGTATTGCTTTAATGTCGTCTTCCTATTCTACTGTTTTCTAGTTATCACTGTAATGCATCATCTTAATCAAGGTACTAATGCAAAGAAAGTTATTTCAGAGGTGTACGCATTTTTTGTACTGCAGTGTACTGTCTTTGGGCGGAAACGTAAACACAAGACGGATGTCGCGTCACAGCCTGAATGGAATCCATTTTCACAAAAATAATCTATGAAATATTCTGGTCATATGAAGCTATTATGTGAGTTTTCAAAATTATCAAAATTAAATGATTTAACCTCCAGGGATACTAAACGAACACATATGCATCTATTCTTCTTTACAAAGTCCGCCCAGAGAGAACTGGTTTCAATATGTACGCAGAGTATACGCAACCGCAATTAACTTTCCTTGTATTAGTACCTTGATCTTAGTGTAATTACGAAATTAGCCATGTATAGATAGATGTTGAAATACACAGATAACTATAGTTTACATCTTGGTAATTTATTCAACAAATTCAAAATCAATTTTCTGGTCTGTCATATTTGAGGAAGAGAAATTATCTAGACTTGGCTTCGAATTGGAGATGGGTCGTAGAAATAATTCGTCTCAAGATTTCATATTTCAGTGCTTGGTAAATGGAAATGGTACCTTGTCTTCTTTAACTGGTCTGTGGTATACCGGTACCAATAAAATAGATACAGGGGAGTACAACAAAAAAAACGTGTTATTCCTAACTTTAGTAGCCTAAAAACTTGTGATTCCTAACTTTAGTAGCCTAAAAACTTGTTATTCCTAACTTTAGTAGCCTAAAAACTTGTTATTCCTAACTTTAGTAGCCTAAAAACTTGTTATCCCTAACTTTAGTAGCCTAAAAACTTGTTATTCCTAACTTTAGTAGCCTAAAAGCTTGTTATTCCTAACTTTAGTAGCCTAAAAACTTGTTATTCCTAACTTTAGTAGCCTAAAAACTTGTTATTCCTAACTTTAGTAGCCTAAAAGCTTGTTATTCCTAACTTTAGTAGCCTAAAAGCTTGTTATCCTAACTTTAGTAGCCTAAAAATCTTCTAACCTTTACGAGACAAATTTATATTGAGCATTTCAACTCATTATGAACCTTGACTAATTAACTACAGTTCACGTACACATGATTATAGTTTCTGTAAAATTAACCTTTATTTATATATATCTTTTACGGTCATGTGCCCCCGGTTCACATTCATTTAGAACGTATTAATTATGGTCCAAGTAATTATAGTTTAAATCTTGTTTGCTTATGAAGACAGAGTAGAAGGAGGAGTTAAAGGGAGTGTTCTCGAAAAAATGAAAGGGGTATCGGCTGATACAGAATTGAATTCGATGTTGATTGCTACTAATTATGTTGCGTCTCTAAGAGAAAATTGTTAAAACGTCTTATACCAAAGAGCGTAGGACCCAAGCAAATCCACGTAGTTGCATTATTCCACTCAGATTGTAAATAATTCAGTTACATTTTAATTAATTAATCAGATATTACAACCTGTAAATGTCAAAATTAATTCGATATCAGCCTTTACCCCTTTACATTTTTTTGCGAACACTCCTTTTAATAATAAATAATGAGGTAGGTTAAAAAAGATACTTTTGATTTGCATAATTTGATCATAATCTTTGATAACAAATATATTTTGTGAACATTTTTATTGAATATAAAGAATGTTCAATCATTGCATGAGTATCTAAATAATATTCAGGATGGATCATCAAGTTGCTGAATAAGAAGTTAGTGTTGATGCTTATCTTAGTTAAAGTCCCCCCCCCCTTGATCCACTCCTGCCTCAGGGATTGACCTCCATATCACATGATTACATTAACTGCCTGTGGCATATATCCCACCTCGGCATGCAATTTCTGCATGATACGTGTGCATAGAGATAGGCATCGTTGTAGTGAACGACCCAAATTGTTCCAACAAAAAACAAACGATGGACGAACGACCTGGATAGTTCAGAAAAATGAAAAAACTATCTTTGTTATTTTAACGAACGAAAAACAAAAAAAGAAAGTTTTTAAATCGTTAGATTTAACTTGAAAAAAAACGATTTAATTGAACAATCGTTCAGTGAGAAAACGAACGGAATGTTTTTTTTGAACGATTGAAAAAAATAACTAAAATTGTTGTTCATTAGCGATGAACGACCAAAATAAAGCCGAACGTGCCATCACTACTTGTGCATGCACCAGCACTCTCCCAGTAGCATGTACACTGTACACTCTCCCAGTAGCATGTACACTGTACACTCTCCCAGTAGCATGTACACTGTACACCACTCTCCCAGTAGCATGTACACTGTACACTCTCCCAGTAGCATGTACACTGTACACTCTCCCAGTAGCATGTACACTGTACACACGAAGATGTAATTATATAATTAACTTCTTTAATTATATAATTAAAATCAAGGTTACTACATTAAAAAGTTTTGTCTCAAACAATAAACAATAAGTTTCCCAGACGGAACACATATATTTTAGTTTTTCAGAAATAGAGTATTTATAATGTACTAGCTTGGGAACCCAGCGTGGACCAGGAGAGTCATGAATAGTCCCACCGTTTACCCGATCTTTGCTGTAAATTACGATTTTAGCTATTTTTCCCGATAAAGGTCGATCCACTCAACTTAGAATATTAAAACCAGACAAAGAAAATTCCCGTGGTTCTCCCGAGTTATCTAATCAAAATATGAGGCGAATCGTTCAAGGGGTTCCTGAGTTTTGATCAGGCATACAAGCATATAAACAGAGATTTATAAAGAGACTTTATAAAGTTGTAAGATGTATATTTTCAAAAACATGATAGACCTACAGACAACTTCTATTGCGCTAAATCTATAACATTTTGAAAAGCAAATTTTAATAAAAGGAGCAAAGAACCAAATGTTCAGATTGGTGTATCTATGTAAATATATTAAGCGCTAAAAATAGTATTATAATTAACTAAATATTCCCTATATGTTGGTCAATAGTCGTACTTCTACTGAGGTTTCCTTTGTATTGTTTTAACTCTAACAAAATTTTACAAAATGTAATCCTAAAAGTTATTCCGAAACATAAAAGAATAAAACTAACTTTAAAGGGAGTGTTCGCGAAAAATGAAAGGGGATATAGGCTTAATGTGATAAAAAAGCGCTTTTGATCGCTACTAATCTTACTTCTATCTGTTGCGTCTATAAGGAGAAACTTGTTAAAGACGTCTCATACCGAATAACTAAGCGGCCATACAAATTGAGAAAATTGCAACATACAACTTAGATAGTAAAAAATCAATTTAATTTCAAACAAATCATTCAGATATTACACCCTATATTCATCGATTATCTTTCGCCACATTTGTATATAGTTTATATTTTATAATATTTTTTAGTTAATTTGTTTATTTCTCTTGTTGCTTGCGCAACTAACTAAGAATGCCGCGCACCACTCACATTTTTCGAAATCCGTTAAAACGTTTTCTAAAAAAATAAAATATTATAAAATATAAACTATATACAAATGTGGCGAAAGATAATCGAAGACTATAGGTTGTAATATCTAAATGATTTGTTTGAAATTAAATTGATTTTTACGGTATAAGTCATATGTTGCAATTTTTGAATTTGTATGGTTGTTAAGTTATTCGGTATGAGACGTCTTTAACAATTTTCTCCTTATACTCGCAACAGATAGAAGTAAAATTAGTGGCGATCAAAAGCGCTTTTTTATTGCATTAAGCCTATACCCCCTCCACTCCCTTTAAGTTTGATATGAAATATAACCTTTTACTCAAGTTTGGTAGACACCTAGTTTACAATATTGTAAATATTTAAACTGTTATTTGTTGTGTACTTATATTTTAAGCAAGGACGATATTGAAAACCTCCATCAAGTTGAATATTTACCATTCAATGCTGAATTCTTAGATAGCGCCTGGTCACAAACTCCGATTCTTTAGATATTTTAGATATTTTAGACAAGGAATTTAGTTGAATCAAATAAATATCAAAGGTTTATATTATTAGAAAATTGGAATTTATGGCAAAGACTAAATTCCTTTATCGCCTTTGTCAAAAAAAAACTCTGATTTCTAATCCCAATATCTATGCAACCGACTGTCGTAGACCAGGTATTTCAAACTATGAATTCTGTAATATCAAATAATTTAGGTTTATAGTATGAAAGGTTTACATCATTTGATTGTAGAGCTATAGGTATTAAGGGTGATCAATATTGAAATTAAGCCAACCGCCCACCAGGGGTTGCTGCGTTTTCACTTTAAAAAAATATTGCAATAAAAAAAGAATTTCTAAATCGTCCATACGTTTGCGAATTGACTATTTAACATTGGATAAATCACTGGAATGCCGCAAAAGAAAATTTAAAAATTTCATGTTATACGTCATTTTCTTGGAAATTTTCTGCTGAATTCAATTCTGAAAAGCACTTTTTAAAATATTAAAAAATAAAGAATTTATAGCCAAATAACGTTAAAAAATCTCTTTTTTAACTTTTTAGTGTTTTAATGAGTGTTCTAACTCTAACTCATTCAATTATTATTTTTTTGGACAGTTAGCTGATTTATAAAAAAGTAGCAAATCAATCACCCTTAATGGGGATTAGAATATTGGGATTTGGGGGAAAAACTCATTTTCTATATCGCGCACTCAAAGGAATTGAGTCTTTGCCACAAACTCTAATTTTCTAATCCCTTTTTCAATGCAACCAAATGTCTTAGACCTTAGAAATTTCAAACTGTGAATTCTGATGACTCAAATAATCTAAGTTTGAAATATCATAGGTTTACACAATCAGTTGTCAAAAATTATAGTGTGTGGCAAAGATTCAATTCCTTTTTAACAAGCAAATTGAATAGTATTTATTTTTCTTGAGTATCTGGAAATACAGCGTATAAAATATTGTTATAATCGTAAATTTATTCCATGCTAGGAAAGCATAAAAGATAAATTTAAAGATAAACTATTATGAACGAAAGTATTATATACAGACACGTGTGTCCATATCTCATTCTTGATTGAAGCTATGATAGTAAAAAGGGTGTCCCGCGACCCGCGAAACCTGAAAGTTGATGAATAGTTTTGAATGTTTTCTTTCATATGTTGTATGTATGTATATTTAATATTAAGACGAACTGCAGTTTATTTCATAAAAGAATTGTTTACTATTGGGTATAAAAAAAACTTGAAAAAAAGGAAGACATCAAACTATGTTTTACGTAACACCCTGTATGTAAATGGAGAATGGGTGAGGGAAGCAATAAGGCTGGGTTTATAAACGGCTTTAAGCCAAAAGAAGTTTAAGTAAACGAATAAAGTATAAACCGTCGAAATATTGTCTTTATTTTGAAATATGGCATGCCTGAGAAAAAGTAAGGTAAACATGGTTTCATTATAAGACAATATGATCGTCGCAACATTTCACAGAAAATGATTGCACCGAGTCAAGAAAAAAATATTTTTGCAATTTTACAGGACATTACGCTAATTGAACAACTTTTTGTCCGCATCCTATAGACAATTGCTCAACATCTCCTCACTTCAACCCTAAACTACTGACAATTAAACGAAATGAAAATTAATTACCCGCCATTTCTTCATTACATAATTACATTGTAGTGAATGTTAAGACCAACTGCCAAATAATAACTTTACAACCTTCAATGAAATATTAGCTGGGATTGTTGTCATGTGTTAATCTGCAGATTAACCCTGAGATTTGACACGCACAATATTATGTGTAAAGCATTTAAATGACTTGAAAAACGTGTAAGAACTAAATTTACTCGTATTTTTTTACCATTTAATTTAACTTTATAAATTTTGTTTATGACTTGTTTTCAGTATTGATTTGGAATTCAATTGAAACGTATTACACTATCAGGTACGTTGCAAAGATATATGGATTCGAAAATTTGAGTATGTTGCAAAGACTCAATTCCTTTTTAAGAAATATTCAATGTAAAAAGAAGTGAGTAACCGTTTACCGTTGAATCAAAAAGTTAGCTTTACATGTAACAGAATAACTTTTAAATAATAAAAGAAATGTTATTAACCAAAGAATATTTACAAACAAATCAAGAAATTTAAAATTTACTATCATTTTCTAGTAAAACAACGAAGAAATCATAACAAACCGATCTTTAAAAACTATATACATGTTTTAACTAGACCAATTTAGACTAAAAACTTCAATATTGTGTAACATCTAAGAAGTTTTAAAAGGTTTGATTTGCTTTACAATTGTATTTATCTCTCAAATAACTCATTTAGGGTTGTTTGAACACTGGGGCAAACATGTTTTTTGAGAATCTACTTATTTATTCTTATATGCTTTCTTAACTTACTTGTCTTTATTATTATTGTTGTTCTTTGCATATATTTCCTCATTGTGTTCGATCTCGTTGTTTAATTTCTGTTTACTCCTGTCCTTCTCCTTCTTAGACCCAAGTCTTGAAACTTTCCACTTAAACATATTCACTCAGTTTTTAACTTTTCTTTAACTCATCTTATACAGTGAAATTCTCATTATATCTCCAATGGTCACTTGTGAGAAAGAGTGAAATATCTGGAAATCAGCCACTGTGACACTTTGCGTTTAGGTTACTGAGAGCCGCGCTAGTGTGGTATATACTACGTTAAACTCTCTGAGTTCGCTCGCAACACATCTTTACTACGCACAGGATTGGATTCGACTGAGTGAATTTAGCGGTCTACTATGCTACACCGGTGTCTGAGGGGACAATACTTCATACAAAAATACTAATTTTGAAGGCTGTTTTTTCAAATTATTTGTTTTTACAGAATTACAAAATTATATAACTTATTTGTAAACAAAAGCGGGTTTAAAAATTTGTAAATTTTCCCTGAAGGGGCGGGTTGTATAAAGGGGGGTTCACCTGTAGCTGTCTAACGGGGGGGAGATAAGGGGATTGTTTAGAAGGGGGGAGGGGGGTGGAGTTTACTATACAGATAATAATTGTTTATACTCTTGGACAAAAACAAGACTAAAACCCTGATCGATCCCGGGAAGGGGAATAAAAACAGAAATATGGTGCGATAAAAGAAAAGGAAAAAGAGCAGAAGATAAGGATTGAAGATACGAGATAGACCTTAGGTTGATTGATGAATCATAACAAAATTGGATATGTACAGGGTGTTTTGTAAATTGGATATGTACAGGGTGTTTTGTAAATTGGATATGTACAGGGTGTTTTGTAAATTGGATATGTACAGGGTGTTTTGTAAATTGGATATGTACAGGGTGTTTTGTAAATTGGATATGTACAGGGTGTTTTGTAAATTACTTCTTAACTTAAATACTAATGCTCACGTAAGTGTTTTACAGTTTTTGAATGTAGGGTACGGAGGTAAACACTACATAGAGACAAAAAATTTTATTTGAGTGAGTAAAGCAAAATCAAAGGCCAATGTGTTGCAACACCTCATATTCGGCCCAGTCTTGAAAACTAATGCATTTTTTAATACTTGTACTTTTATATGTTAACAATATATTGAGATCCAAGATAAACAAAATTCATATAATTAGTCTGCGAGAGAAAAGGAAGGCAATCTTTTTTAAAAGAAGTCGAAATAAAGGATCTTTAAACTTTAAATGTATCAGATAACATCTCCGACTAATACCATCCGCGGCATGTATATATGTAGATTAGAGACAAACACAAAGAGAAAACTGTAATGTATTGTAATTTGTAATAATATATGTATAGTATAGACTAAAGACAAAAATGTAATGTATTGTAATTTGTAATAATATACGTATAGTACAGACTAAGGAGAAAACTGTAATATATTGTAATTTGTAATAATATATGTATAGTATAGACTAAAGACAAAAATGTAATGTATTGTAATTTGTAATGATATATGTATAGTATAGACTAAAGACAAAACTGTAATGTATTGTAATTTGTAATAATATACGTATAGTACAGACTGAAGAGAAAACTGTAATGTATTGTAATTTGTAATAATATACGTATACATATAGTACAAACTAAAGAGAAAACTGTAATGTATTGTAATTTGTAATAAAGAGAAAACTGTAATGTATTGTAATTTGTTATAATATACGTATTACATATAGTACAAACTAAGGAGAAAACTGTAATGTATTGTAATTTGAAATAATATATGTATAGTTATACAGACTAGAATTGTTTGTCTCTTATCAATGAAATATATAAAAAAAAATGGCATTTATCGTTCTCTTCCAAGATGTTTAAAAATATATTTTTAATTGAATAAATAACTATTCAATGATACATAACTAGAGATAGAGGAAAGGAGATGAGTTTTTTAACTAACTCTTATTTTCTAATTCTTTTAGCTCTAATTAAACCCCAATTGGTCGTAGACCTTTTATAATTTAAACTATGAATTCTAATTAATCAAATAGTCTAAAATTTTTAAATATTAAAGGTTTACACCAACGGGTTGCAAAGAAATAGTGATTATAAAATCAGAGTTTGTGACAAAGACTCAATTGATTTCCCATTTAGAGTTCAATTATACCCCCTCGAAATCTAACTGTTTATGCTCACCGTATTTCCGCTAGCGTTATGAAATCTATAAATAAGACAGTTATTTTTAGATTTATAAAAATTATACTTTACGGTTTAAAGAAATGATTTATTAATGCCCACTATAGTCCAACCAATCAGAATTTAGCATTATATCTATTATTTCCAAGTTACGTCAAATTAAAGGAAATTCCACGTACAAGATTTAAATCCTTAATGTTTTAATCGGAGCTCCTCTTTCTGAAAAGCTATTAAGAAGAACAAAAAAAATTTTTTATTTAACCTTTAGTTTACAGTAAAGTACAAATATTTTTGCATGAGCCAACTTTTCCAAAATGCATAGATCTGGATTGGTTTTTAAAAATCTTGATGAGAAAAAAGAAAAGGAATGGAAAGTTAAAAGAAAAAGATGAATATTAGACGAATTCAAATTGAACATGACAAAAGACAAACGAATGAATGCCAAAGAATTATTTGTAAAAAGGTTGAAAAGATAAATGCAAGGATGAATAGGTTGAATAGTTAGAATTATAGATAAATGAATGGCTGAGCAGAGACCTACCTGCCTACTTAAGCCACCGGAAGTACAGACCAAGCTTCCGGTGTCTTGATAATTTTCTCTCTGCCTGTGTAAGCACAATAACACAGCTCCCCTCGTGTACATGATAAAAAATATTATTCATACTGATGATTGCATAAAGCATAAAACATTGTGTTATGAAAAATAAAGATGTTATGGAATATTCTTGCCTTTTCACTGTCCCCCCCTCTAATCTCCATCTCGTCCTTACCGTTGTTACCCTGGTGATTGTATGATTGTATGATGTTGAGAACTAAAGAAGAATGGGTTTTTTAAAAGTTGTGCACCTAGTACCTTGTACCCACCCATACTTATATTCCCACACACAACATTTCTATACGTTTACCAATCATCCTCTAACTACAGAGTGGTAGGCAATTATATCAATACAATACGACTTTTTTATTTTAAGTTTTGATTGTTTACCAGCTTTCTTCAAATTACAAGTTTACAAGTAATCAAAGAGAAGCTTCTCCAGTTTTGTTTCCATGTATATATGTGCATCCATGCTGTTTAAAAGCTTGATAAAATTCAATTTTTAAATCTAAGTCGTCTTCATTTTATTGACATAATCGCCTACCACTGTATACTACAGTGAGAAACAGAAAACTGTGGAATAGGAGGACGACATTGAAGCAATACTGAACTGTATTTGATGTTGAACAAAGCAAATAGTTTATACTTGTAACTAAAGAAATCACTTATTATGTTAAATAGGTCTGTTTACACTGCACAGTTATTGTGTCTCACTCTCATGTTCATTGAACTATTTAAAATCATAACTTGAGTCTAGAAGTCGTCTTCCTAGTTCAGAGTTTCATGGTTTACCCAGACCCAATTCTCAATGCTTCCAACAATACTTGTTTACCAAGCTAACAAGCTACAAACTATAAAAAGTCAGACCTGGTTAGATGGTTTACCCAGACCCATTTCTCAATCTTCCAACAATACTTATTTACCAAGCTAACTAGCTACAAACTATAAAAAGTCAGATCTGGTTATAAGAATGAAAAACTTTTTTGTTCTGCAACCGCAACATTCCATTGTGAATTTACGATTAAATATCTTAAAATACACGAATAAGAAAAAGAATAAGATAAACCAAAATTAAAACATTAAGTGATAAACTCTGGAATAAGTTCCATTTAAATGGGGGTTGGGGGGGGGGGACAGTGAAAAAAAACTATAAATAGCACTAACTCTCTTTTCAGTATAAACGTAACCAATAACTTATCAATTCTTTTTGTAAATATATTCAAACGTTTAAAAAGCAAAGTGAGAACAGGTTTATCAAAACAAAAATAATAGATTTTATTTTTATGAACTATGATTTACTTAAAACTGTTTTCTTTCTCATACAACTTTTTTGGAGATTTAACCAAAAAGCCGAGTTTGAGATTCGATAGTAACAACCCGATCATGTCCTGGGGACAAAGACATCTTTTTCAGAAAAGAGATTAATGCTTGATCTCCTCTTTTAATAATTCTCCAGAATAATTTAATCTTTAGTTTGTATTCTGACAAATGTGTAAAATTCAACCAATAAAGTAGTGGTGTATAGCTGTGAGTAACTATGAATGTATATCTGGTGGTGTGTAGAGAGTAAAGTTTACACCTGCCAGTAATTATCATTAACTTGTTGCTCAGGACCCTTTTCACTGATAAAATATAATAGGAATATTCTTGCCTTTTTACTGATAAAATATAATATATGAAAATTATTTATATCTGCAACTTTAGTCTGTAATAAAAAAGTTTATACAGGGTGTCCCAAAAAGTATATACAGGGTGTCCCAAAAAACATGGGAATTCAGTGAGGATTTCGATATCGTCTTTATAAATAATACTTTGATTTAGATTAGTGATACCCACTGAGAAAGATGTAATCTGTAAGAGTTTCGTCTGCTATGTTCACATTTTGTTTGTTTATGTTTTGACTGCATACGGTTGTGCTTAGTAAAGCAAGAAAATTACAGTATGGCAAACAGAGTAAACTTGTCCGTCTCCACTGATCATCTTGCGGAGACATTATAGACACATCTTTACAGTCTTTTACCCTTTCCATAAAATAAATAGCGGACATAAAAATATTGTGGCTTTTGAAATTAGGAATTACAATGCTAACTCATAACAAAGACGTTAACCAATTCGTCCCTGAATTACCATGTTTTTGGGACACCCTGTACAAAAATGTTCACAGATGTGGAACTAGAATACAGCAACAGAACCGAATGAATGAGTGATGGAAATCGAATTTTCCCCCAATTTTCAGGTTTTAATTACCCCCCCCCCCCTCTCACCCACACGGTAAACTAGAGGTCCTAGTAAAAAGTCGATCCAATAAGTCTTAACTTTAGAACCAATTTTCAACTATAAAATGAAGATTTTTCGTACTTTGTAAGCTATGCATTTTAAATAGTTTAGTATATTAAGGCTTTTGCGCTATTTCTGAAGGATTTTGAATTAGGAATTAAAATGTAGGTGAAAATATTGCGATAAACGTTGAAGTTAGTCTTACGTGATACCCCCCCCCCC